CCCCCCCCCCCCCCCCCCCCCCCCCCCCGCACGACCTGTTCTGTCCTTCCGATATATTTTGTACCCCGGAATGATTGTGTCCCATTGATTGCTCTCAGTCCACCAGGTTTCTGTGATGCCTATTATATCAATATCCTCCTTTATCACGAGGCACTCTAGTTCACCCATCTTATTATTTAGACTTCTAGCATTTGTGTACAAGCACTTTAAAAACTTGTCACTATCTATTTGTCTGCCCTTTTCTGATGTGTTAGATTCTTTTTTATGTGAATGTTTATCATCTGATCTGGCCCTTACATTATCCTCCTCCATCCTCTGCTCCTGACTATAACCTGGAGATTCTCTATCATTAGACTCTCCCCTAAGAGAAGTCTCTGTCCGATCCACATGCTCCTCTGCAGCAGTCGGCTTTCCCCCATCTCCTAGTTTAAAAACTGCTCTACAACCTTTTTAATGTTTAGTGCCAGCAGTCTGGTTCCACTTGGGTTCCACCTAAACCAATCTCTCCTGTATAGGCTCCCCCCATCCCAAAAGTTTCTCCAGTTCCTAATGAATGTAAACCCCTCCTCTCTACATCATCGTCTCATCCACGCATTGAGACTCTGAAGCTCTGCCTGCCTACCTGGCCCTGCGCGTGCAACTGGGAGCATTTCTGAGAATGCCACCATAGAGGTCCTGGATTTCAGGAGTGGAACAAAAGAATAATAAAGGCACCTCAACTTTTCCTCATTTATGTAGGACAGTCTTGTAATATGCATCCAGATATCCTTCAATCACACAAGCTGAAAATTGTTCCACTTTACTGCAGTTCTGTAACCATATGGGAACCAATCCTGTCTGTGTTCTCTGCACATCCAAAATTCCTGCTGAATGACCCGCCCTGGGAGCGAGTTACCAGTGACCCAGGGCTGGGGCGGCAGGAGGGTGCAGTTGGGGTGGGGGAGAGAGAGAGAGAGAGACCAGGGCTGGGAGGGGGCGGGGGGGCAGCCAAAAAGTTTTTTGCTTGGGGCAGCAAAAAACCTAGAGCCGGCCCTGGTTCTACAGAAGATGCCCAGAATTCCCGTTTTTTTTTTAACAACGAAATTTTATCCATTGTAGTAAAAATGGTCACATTCTTTCCTTGCAGAGACAGATTAATTTCATTTAATTTTGCAAAAATATCTGCAAGATACGCAAGCCTCATTAGCCATGAGGAATTTGTCAGACAGTCATTAAATTTTCGTCCTGAATTATCTGAAGTGAAGAATATCAATAGTTCACTACAAAGCTCAAAAAGCCTCACAAGCAATTTTCCTCTGGATAGTCACCTCACTTCCGTATGTAAAAGAAGTGCTTTGTGCTGACTACCCATTTCCTCACACAAAATTTTAAATAACCTGGATTGAAGTGGTCGAGATTTGACAAAATTGATAATTTGTACTGCTTCATCGAGCACAATTTTCATATATGCTGGTATTTTTTTAACTGCAAGTGATTGTCTGTGTAGAACACAATGGCTCTTAGTGCTTTCTGGTGCCACACTTATGATTCGTGTTACAACTCCCTTCATATTCCCGATCATTGCCCGAGCACCGTCAGTACATACACCAATACATTTTCCCCAACTAATTTCATGCTTTCTGATAAAATTGTTGATGCAGTTGAATATTTCTTCTCCAGTTGTGTTGGTTTACAGAGATTCACATAAGAGCAGGTCCTCTTCAGTAATATTATTAAATCTATATCGGACAAATACTAGTAGCACAGCAAGTCCTGAAACGTCAGTGGACTTATCTAGCTGCAATGAATACTCATGGCAAATTTTCAGTTGGCAAACTAGTTCTTTTTCTATGTCATCGGCAAGATCTTTAATACGGCGTGCAACAGTATTATTTGATAACTGTACAGCATTGATTTTTTTACCAGACTGCTCGCTCAACATGCACATTACAATATCTTTCGCGCAAGGCTTGATAAGTGTTTCTCCAATAGTGTGAGCTTCTCCGGCAAGCGCTATACGGTAACTTACTTGATAAGATGCATCTGTTGCACTTTTGTTGTCTGTTTTAGCAATTTTAATCATCGAAAGTTTAGAATTTCCAAGTGAGTCACACTTCCTCTTGAAAAAGCTTATATCTTTGTCTTTGTATTCAGCATGCTTGGTTTCCAAATGCCTACGAAGTTTAGCAGGAGCCAATGAACTGTTTGCTAGTATTTTGTTGCACATGATGCACTGCGCATCAGGAACATCTTTATTTCCAACACACGTAAAACCAAAAGACAAATAACTTTCATCATATTTTCGTTTCGGTCTTTTAACACCTGCTTCTTCTTGTTTTTTGATATACTTTGATGGAAATTCTTTCACCGTGGATAACTCACTAGTACTAACAGATTTTTCGGCAACAAAAGACTGCAATTGTTCATCCTCTCTTTGAAGTGTCACAATATTTTGCTCGTTTATTTCGGCCACAGTTGGAGTGCCAGAAGAACTTGCTTTTCGTTTCAAAGTTCCTTCTTTTAGCCACAAATCCATGGTGATTAGGTTTAGTAACAATATTTAGAAATACTGATTTTTGTCAAATTTTGTTTGTCACAAATATTTATATTGTTTCGAGCGAAGCTAGTTTAGTTGTGCTTATCGCACACACGGTAAAGACCCACAGGTTTGAATATGTTGAGTGAATATGTTATATTCAATATGGCGTAAAGAGAATGGTGTGTGCATACCACTGCAGTTCGTGCAGCCTCGAGCGGAAGGGGTACGACGTCACTAACTGAAACGTGCCCGAAGGGGTAGATGTCAACATACTTGCGTGCCACGTTCTCTTTACGCCATGATATTCAATACGAGATCTATCAATAACAGGAAAAAGAGTTTGTTAAATTATAGTCATTCAAAAAGAGTTGTAAACTACGCTTCAAATATGCCAAATTTAAAATTAAAAAAAATTGAAAGACCCTTTTTTAAAACTATGATTCTTTCATGGAGCACCTATTCACATCGTGCGGAACACCAGTGTTCCGCGGAACACAGTTTGGGAAACACTGCTCTATGGCATATTGAAGACTGAAAATGTGGAAGTAGTATAAAATAAATTATTAATTAATATTAAATTCATTTTCAAAGGGGCGCAACTATACTGATTTTGGTGGTCATTTTCAAAATAACCTGAATGTGGAATTCAGTATGGATTTTTTTTTGTTTGTTTCAGCAAAACAAAGATACATAATTTGTTTTTGTTGAATGACAGTTGTCATCATTGGGCAGGAGACTCTGTGCATGTGCGCATGTATTTCCCCCATTCGCTCTACTATCTACAGTGGCATGGAAGACAGACAAAGCTCACATCTTAATAGCTCCTTCTTGGTGACATGGGTTAGAATTTTCAAAACTCATTAAAATGACCGTTACTCTATTGTGTGTGTGCCACTCTCCTTCCAACTAAGGGCCCAATTCCATATGGTCAGTTCACAGTGGGTGGATCACTTGATGGGGTCTCAGGAGACGTGTGTTATTCCCACATCTTCCATTAACCTGCTGTCTGACCCTGACCAACTCACTTTACCTTCTTGCACAACTCTTTTTTCCTTATTTGCAAAAGGGGATAACGATTCTTACCTTTTTTTTTTTTAGAGCAATTGATGAAATGGGCTGTCAAAGGGCTAGTTACTGTTTCTGACCCCAACATACCTACTTTTCACCCTGCTCATTCCACAGAGACAGTGAGTCACTGTCAGAGCTGGGATTAGAATTTGGGAATTCCTAGCTCCTAGTTCTTTGCATAGTCTATTCAAGGGACATTGAAATCTTGGAAAGGCCTTCATGGAAGAATCCTGGTTACTCCACCCATTCCATTTCTACTTCCTAACCAGAGAAGAGCTGTACATCACATGAAAAAATTTGAGGAATGGCAACGTTGGGCTTCCTGACACTATAAGTTACACTTATTTTCTCTGATGCTGTTTTTTATCTAAGTTTTCTCCAGGCCACTGGCCTTTATTAAATTCTTACCTCCCTTGTTGCGTGACATCATAGTCCAGCAATAAGAGCATACAACGATGAGCTTATAGCAGAATTGGGAAAAGCACAAAATATTAATATTTTTACATTTGGCACTGTGCTGATTACCAGTTTTGCTTCTGGACTGATGGAAGTCCAAGACCACAAGACACGGGAATTTCGTACTGTAAATTTGGTTTCTCTGGGCTTGTACATGTGCTTTAAATCTCCATTTATATTTCTGGAGTGTGATGAGTGATGGCAGAAACAGATAGGTGGGCACACACCAAAGTTTTAGCTGTTTTAGTCATTCTTGTAGTTAGGACCAACCCAAATGCAGTCTCTGGATTGGTGAAATGCATGCGCAGGGAAATTAAATGTGGTATAAGGCAGCCATTTAACATTCTTTTTCTGGTTTGTTCGTAAACAGCAACTGGATCCCCCCCATGAAGAGCTGCTGTCTGATGCATTACACAGTGTGGAGACTGAACTGAGAAAACTTGCTGAGATTCCATGGCTTTATTATGTTTTCCAACCAAATGATGATGAGGTAGGCCACTTACTCCTAAGTGAAAATAATTGTATTTCACTAGACAAGAGTAAATTAGAATTCCTCATCATCAAGTGAAGCAATTTTAAAGTTTAGCGGTTGTTTTCCTCTTTTTCCATGCAGGATCCCCCTCTGGATTATTCTAAGAGAAACAACAGAAGTACAGTATTTCGCATAGTGCCAAAGTTTAAAAAGGAAAAAGTCCAAAAGCATAAGAGCAGCCCTCAGCCTGGTATGTGTTTTGACATTGCAAGAAAGATCATAACTTTTGGAAGAAAACATGATTTCATATCTTTCATAATAGCTAAAATAATGTGCGACACCTAGAGGATAAAATCCTAGCTCCACTGAAATCAGGGGGAGTTTTGCTGATTGATGAGTCAATGGGATGAGGATTTCATGCAGTACTTTTAGCAGGTTTGTGTCAATAGGATCCCCAAACAACTAGGTAAATAGAAGAAGTATTTTAAAAAATACTTCAGTAGCTACTCTTTTGCCATCTACTTTTGGGATAGAAGGTCCCATGTGTCTGTTTGGGTGGTTTTATTTAACTAACTCCATGCCAACACAAGTCATTCATAAACCAGTTCTGTTTCTGTATAAAACACTGATTCCAGTTTTTCAGGGTAGTCTGAGAGGCTGCACAATGGCTTTCATTAACACTTGTTTAATTGAACCAGTTGTCCTTTAAAGTCCCAAATAAGATTTCACCACAGTTAATTCTGTACATCAAACAAAATCCTGCTCTCTTAATTAGTTAGTAGAAGTTGAACAAACTCCACTCTCCTCTCTCCCCACTGTTATCTGTGAACATACTGCCTTAACATTATGCCCTGAAAATAACTGGTGTCACAACAGACCTAAAACTGCTCCATCGCCTTGGTCTTTCACAGCAGGCAGTGTGTTACACTGCCCTCAAATGCAAAACAAGCTCTCTACAGTTGTTAATATGAATTTAGCTTCTCAGTTCACTAATATGTTAAAATATAAAGCATATTAGAGTACTTCAGTCTGAAGCTAATCAGCATTGAATGAAAGATAAACAAAGGTACAAAAGAATAATAGTCAGTAACATAAAACTAGTTTCTTTGAATAAACTTGGCCTATTAAGACTAATGTGGGCAACTAACCTTAGAGAACAATGTTGACAGAGAGCTTTTTAATGGCCTGTGCAACCGGTGTGGTTAATGGAATGTTTGTTGCATTAATTAAGAGCACTACAAAAACTTCTGAAGTTGGGCTTGCATGCTATGATCGCTATAGGAGTACAGTATATATGTTGATTTTACATTTTAATTAGTATTTGAAGTGTGTTTTTTTTTTTTTTCTGACTGCACTGCAACCAATAAAGTGTCATTAGTATACAGTGGAACAAACCTGGATCTTGCACCACTGATCCTAAGATGATTAAAAGTGAATTTGTTGAAGTATATGAGGTTTGATGGCTTTATTGAGGAAACTGGAGTAAAGCTGAAAGCACGGCTGCAAAGCAAAGAACCCCATCTTTGTTTAGATACCTTCTAATGTTTATTGCTAACCTCTAACCTGCATGTAAAAAGAAACTCAGTTTTTGTGGAAATGACACCTTTAACCTTTCCCTTTGCTAGCACGGCAGTTCTACTCTGTTTTCCACTCTCTTTGGCCTAACCTTTGCTTGTAATGCATTTGAGCATGTAGAAATTAAGGGGGTTTTGCTCTTAACTTTGGTAGTTCAAAAATGGGGCACAGATGAAGTTGCTGCTTGGCTGGATCTGCTCAGTTTGGGAGAGTACAAAGAAATCTTCATCAGCCATGACATCCGAGGCTCTGAGCTTTTACACCTGGAAAGGCGAGATCTTAAGGTATTTCCTTTGTGCTACTTTTCTGCTCTTCAGAATTTTCTTTGACTAAAACAAAACAAAACCTTTCTCCTGTCCTTGCTTCTGTTATGTGCTTGTAGCTTGGCTTATACTGTGCAAATATGCAGTAAATTACTACACACTGTCCTGTGTCCTGAATTTCTTATATGTTGACCTGTATTTTTAAGCCAAGGATATTAGCAATATTGGAGATTATCTTTTCTCATGCTTCATATAGAATGATAGTATGTTTCATCAGGCTCAGTGAAAGCACTCCCATTGTCTTACCTACATCAATATATTACATTGTTAACTTTAAAAAAACCTTGGTTTTAACTAGATTTATTAAAGAGGATCAGTGTGGAAGGTGAATTATTCATAATAAATTTATTAGGCTAGTGATAATTATTTTAAATGTATCTAGTGCAAGGTCAGTAGGTAAAGTTCATTTAAAATTATGAATACATTACTTCAGTAGTCAGTGTGTGGAAGATGAAAAGTTTGATGATAGTCTTCTGCATTGGCCATTTGCAGGCTTATGAATTTGTCAGGTGTCCAAATATATCCTTCAGAACAGCTTTTTGTTTTGTTTTTGATCAGTTTTTAATTTTGTGAAAAAAATCAAGGCTTCTATCTTTCTGAGATCACTTATTTAAAAAATTAAAAATCATTCCTCCCTGTTTAGTTCAAATAAATAAGAACCATGTTTTGGAAGAAGAAATGTTAGTGTGTTGAAAAATATTAGCCTGGCAAATGATAGTTACTTTGCACTTTGAAATGGTGTTATCTGAGATTGCTGGTCTTTTTCAGGATCTACTTAAGTGCATCCATTATATGTAATAGATACAGTATCTTTGGGGATTCATTAAATTACTTTTTCCTGGAAGAGAAATAATGACCTTTTGATAATGTGTTTGAGAAATCTGCATGCAAAAATGTGCAACTTCTCATACTGCATAAAACAAGAGGTTTCAATTTATACAGTATCCTAACATTTACCTCTAAAACAAAAGTCATTGTGCCCAGCCACATCTGAATACTGCTGCATGTCTAGGCTGTTTCCATGTGGACATCTGTAAGGATGCTCCATTAAATTGTTTAAAAAATTGCTCCCATAGCCTGCAATACTTCCTGATAAGGGAGTGCTGACATTGTATGTCTGCCGTAGGAGGAATGCTGTTGGCAAAGGTAGTTGTGTTCTTGTAATGTATTTAGTCTTGTATGATACATGTCACTGGTCCTTCTGTTTTATCCTGCATCGGTGAGACCCCTGAGCCTCTTTGTCACTGCATGAAACGCTTCCATTGAGGCCTCACGGAGCCCAAACCTGCAAGAACCAAGAAACAGAAAATTATCCAAATAATACGTCTCAGACAACATTCCAGTCTCTGCTGTAATTGCCCATTGTCCAGCTATACTGAAAGAAGGAAACTTTATATGGATTTAATGAAGCCGCAGCTTTATTATTAGATGTCTGGGACTATCTGGCAGATAAAAGTGTATAGTGCAGGCAACTCCATGTCATTCAAATAACTACCTGGGGCTTCTATCAACCCCCCTTCATTTTTTATCCAGGTCCCCCAGCCAACCCCTGGCTTAGACCTTAGCATCCACCCCCCACCTTGTAGGGGAGGGTTAATGTAGACTATAAGAAAGGGGGGTGTTGGCTCTCTGCCATACCAATCATAGGAGCCCCGAACCCCGCCCCACCCCCTTTTAACTAGAACCTCCTTTTTAAGTCCTTTACCAGCCCATTTATCTGGTCACTGGATGCCTTCTCTATGGAGTACCTGCACTGGACATCCGCCCCACGCTTACAGAATAAGTTGCGACGTATAGCCTAACACCCTTTCCTCCTCACCGTAATAGGTCCTCCCTGACACCCGTTGTGGGGAAGGCGAAAAACCCCACTCCACCGAAGCCAATTTGGTGTGAAAGAAAACATTCCTTCCCAGCCCCCCTAAAAAGGAGTAACTAGTGCAATGCCCACAGCAAGTCCTAACCCAACCTGATGTTTGCACCTCGAGGGGAGGGAAGAAGGGTGGGTGCTGCCTTGCCTGCTGCATGGAGAAAGGGCTTCTAATGTCTGAATCTGCCCCTTTTAAAGCCTTCTGTTCTTAGGTACCCAGGGGATGAATCAGCATGGCCATGCTGACCCCCATCCACCCTTTTTATATCGGCTTCTGACCTCCTTCCTTTCCCCCTACCTGTAAAGCACTGCTACCTTCCTCTGGCAAGCCTGGACAATGTCTTCTCCCCACCCCGCCTTTCAGGTGCAGTGCAGTCATTCTGAACAGGGACTAGATGATTCAAAAGCTAGACAGGAAACTCGGCACCCCAGGGCTGTGGCTTTCTCAAAATGATAAAAACCCTCGAAAGGAAAAACCCAAGAGATCGAAATTGTTGGAGTGGACCGGTAGTAAACAGTGTTACAGCAGGCAAGGAAAGTCCCTCTGGCCTTGTGCAAGGATCATTTTGATTGTGTGTTCAAACTGAAACTTAACCAAGTAGCTTTCTGCAATGTGACCATTAACTGACTCTCCTTTAAGCTAGGGCAAATGATGAATCAAACTGATTTTTAATTGCCAGTGGTGCAGGGAAGCCACTGTCCATGAACTACATAGAGGCTAGGTTGTGTGCAGTAACCACAGTGTCATGTCGGGAGTGTTTCATATTTTTGCCAGAATAGCTGTGGAACTTCCAGCAAAAGTGCTCATTAAATCCCAGCAGACCCTTTGGCCAAATGTTTGTGTTTTTTGTGTTATAGCAGCATATCTGAATAGTTGAGTGGAGCATGAATTCAGTTCCCTTTGTCTGCTCTACAAGCAGACTCCCTCAGCATGTCCCCAAGTGAGTCCCAAATAATCTGTGCAACTACATGTACACTGAGAGGAACAATAAACTCCTGGCATCCCAGGGAAGCCCAAACAGTCTGGCCTGTCATTGCCTTGACCTGTAATTTGAAGGTGGAGGGGGCAGGGAGAAGGGCTGGGTTGGATTATTGAATTGTTATAAGATTACATCTGGCTTTTATTATAACTCCTCCACTTCACCTTTCTCATAACTTTTAGAAATATCTCCTTGTCAGTTGAAGTTTTGATTGTAGAAGTTTTTGTTGGTTTGTTTGTTTTTCTTTCAATGCTTGTGCAAAATCCAGTCACCCATTTTATGAGGATTTTATTTATGAGGATAGAAAGTAATATATGCTGGTTTTATCTGTACTCTCCAGCTTCTCTGTGTCACTCAGGAACCATAAACCTGTTTTTTGCTGGTCAGACAAGCTCAAAGAGGATAGCAGTGATTCTGACCCTTTAATTTTATATTGTTAATGCATTTAAGATGCTTATTTGCACATGCATTACTCAAAAATAGCAAAATTGTAGCTGAGTTCTTCTCCCTGAGAATTAACCTCTCTACTAATTTACAGAAAGAAATATTAACAGTTATTAGCATTTTAAAACTGCTCCTGTGCATGAGAGCTGGTTGCTAATATTCCTAGCTGCAAGAGTGTCTACTGGGCTACAGTGGTACTGTAGTTCTAATGTCTCCATAGAAAGATTTCAGCACAGAAGTGTGTCCTATATTTGAAGATGCAGGATCTGGATAGTTGTATAGTGAGAGTCAAACTGAAATTTATGGTGAGGGTTGTGTATTGTTTTCATCTTTAGTTTTTGTTAACTGAGTAATAGGAATTAAGTGTTGTTGTAGCTGTGTTGGTCCCAGGATATTAGAGAGACAGTGGGTGAGATAATATCATTTATCAGACCAACTTCCATTGGTGAGAGAGACGAGCTTTCGACCTTACACAGAGCCATTCTTCAGGTCTGAGAAACGTACTCAGTGTCACAGCTAAATACAAGATGGAACAGATTGTTTAGCCTAATTAGTTAACACATATTTCAATGGACCATTCAAGATGAAGTGGCCCTTTAATACACTCCATTAATGGGGGAAGGAAAAAGGGGGTGGGGAAAAGGCAGCTTGAGGGGAGGTGTTAGTGGGTTATAGATTTGTTGTAATAAGCTATAAAGCTGGTATCTCTATTCAGTCCGTGATTTGTAGTGTCTAGCAAAGTTATAAATTTAAGCTCCCAATTCATAACTTTGCTAGAGTTATGGTGCGAATTTTTCACACCCATGAGCAATGTCATTATACAAACCTAATTTCCTGCAGTAGACCAGGCCTAAGTACATTTCCTAGACCTGAAGAAGAGCTCCGCAGCCTGCTCTACACTAGAAAATTAAATCCAGACCCCGGGGTAGTTAAGCCAGCCTGACCCCCAATCAACATAGCTACTGCTTCCTGGGCAGCTGGATTACCTGCGCTGAAAGGAGAACCCTTCCTGTCGGCATAGGTAGTGTCTACACTGAACAAAAGTTGGTTTAATAAAAGCTGTTACCTCACCCACCTTGTGTCTCTAATAGGAATTACAATTTTCAAAAAAAGCTCTTTTAGAGCATTTTTAAAAAATCCTTTGAGTTTTGTTAGATTTTGGACTCACTGGATGTCTGTTAAATTAGTAATAAAGCTAGAAGAAATCTCTGATCTTAAAGATGTTAACACAGAATTCTATATGTATTATTTGTTTGGAAATATTAGAATGGAACCCTTTTTGCCAAAGATTGAGTGGCAAACCGTTTTTGGGCGGGGAGTAGGGGGTGAAAGGCAGCCTACCCTCTCTAGCCTTATCTCCAGAGTATAGTACAGATGAAGATTCCCTGTCAGCTGACAACAATTTAAGAAGAAAATTGCTGTAAGAACTTTCATCAGGTTCTTCTCCAGTTATTTTTCAAGGACTTCTTGAGTACTTACGCCACTGGGTGCTAGAAACTGTGAGGTAGGCTGGCAATGTAGCCTAGCAGTGTGACATGGAAATGGGGGGAGAGGTGCACTTTGTGAATGATTTGCAGTGTGTTGCTGTTCCAAATCCCTCCCTTTGTGTAGGGCAAAAGTCAAAATAAAAGAATCCCTACAAACTTTTTGGCATCTAGCTGGCATCTAAAGTCGCTATATGTGTTGTCTTCTCAACAGAATGATTTGGGGAGATCTCCACAAGTGAAAATTCAGAGCTTTTTTTTTACCCTTGTTTGGATTTTTTCTTGAGGATGGCAAACTTTAACTGAGGGGCCAGGAGAATTTGTAATGAGAGTCTGAGGCCTAGGGTTGGGGAAAGAGCTGTTGATATGCTGGAAGTGTCATAATATGATCCTGTCCCCTTTTCAATCCCTGAAGTCTAACAAAATCCTGCTACAATTCTCAACTACCAAAAAATCCTACAAATGAAAACCCTGGCAAAGCCTCATCAAATTCATGCCCAAGTTTGGTGGTGATGGTGAAAGATGTATCTTCTATTTTCTTTCGATTTTGAAGTGACTGTAATTTAGATGGAAACAGTAGATCCTCTGACAAATTGTTGCAAGGAGGTTTCTGAGTAGTTGCTTTGAACTTTTATTTTCTTCATTAGAAAATTAACTTAAAGGCAAATAAGAAAATTTTCTACAACTTTGAATCTATAACCTTATGCCCGTTTGTTCTCAGAAAAAAGTTGCAGTCATTGTTATGTGTGTTTAATAATTGTTGCATACATTAACTATTTTTCTTTCTTAGATGTTTTTGTTGAATACTCAAGAAAGAGTGAGATTGACAGCAGGGGATAGAACAAAGTGCAGTACAGAGAGATGTGCTACAAGTTTCTTCATATTAGTCTGTCAAGCCAACTAAATATGCAAAACCCTTGCAGTTTTAGTCTGGGGTCCATTCTGAGCAGGACCTTCTAATTATGCTGAATCATCATATATGATGGTCTTGAGCTGTAGTGTAGATAATTGTCCATTAGGAAACAGGACCAATTTCTTTCCATTTCCGACCTAACCTGAATTTGAACTCAAATCTTCAAAGGTGAAGAGAGGCCAATGTGTTCAGTTTGTACCCACTTAAATTTTATATAGCAAAAGGGATTTCTTTCAATTTTATACCACACTCTCCTTGTCTCAGGCTGGTGGTAAATGGAAATTAAATTGCATAATAACTTAAGTATCAATGCTTATTTCCAGAGTTTTTGATGTCTTCAGAACACATATATATGGACTCTTTGTGGAAAGTGTGCATACCATGATATATATATTGTTACCACAGTTTTTACAGTACATTAAAATAAGAATTATTATTTTATGCTGCCCTTTCCCTCTTTATTATCCTTGATGTGGAAAATATATCCTCCTAAAGTGGAAGATTTTATATTTCAGAAATATTTCATATGTTCATAATTTTTCAAATTACTTTAATAATATTTAAACCTTGCACTTAGCTGGCATCATTAATCCAAGAATTCCAAAGTGTTTAACAAAGGTGGGTTTTGTATATGGGGAAACTGAGACTCAGAAAGTTTAGGTAAACTGCTTGAAGTTACATAGTCAGTAGCAAAGTCAGGAATCCTATTCTGCTGCTCTGACCACTAGACCAATACAAATTAAACAAGGTTCGATTCCTTTTATATTTCAACTACACACTGTTTACAAAAAAATAAAAAACTAATTCCATAAACAACCCAGAGAGTTTGGGTTAAATAAAAGTATGATGGCTATTGCAAAAAATGTAGACAAATTGTTGAAATAAAGTGAATGAAAATGAATACGCTGAAACAAATAAATAATTCTTGCACAATGCCCTTAAAATTCTGCAAATTCACTGCCAAAGGGAATGAGTTCCAAAGGTGTGGGTGGTTGGGGGGAGGCAGCCTCTTCGTAAGAGGTCCTTGCTACTGCCAGTCCTGAAGAGTTGGGTCCCAGAAAACACTATCGAGAACATTTCAGCTGATCTTAACTGCCACATTGATGTACATAGAGAAAGTTATACAATACATTCAGATTTGTTTCTTGTGTACTTTCCCATTTTCCTTCTGGATGTCATTGTCATGTTTGTCAGAAACTTTCCTCTAATTACCAAGCATATCCATGTTAAGATACTTATCTTTCTGGACTGAGAAATTCACTCTAACCTTAGCTATTGTTCTCTGGAGGAAAGTTGTCCTACATACCTGTAGACCTACATCTACTTTCCCATGGGGATGTGCGTATTTGCTGATTAAGATAGGCATGTTAGGGCCACAGATAAAATAAAAATTGATGGATGGAAGCTATGATCTATCACATCCCTTGAAGCCAACAACTGCTATGTTAGAGAGGAGAGGGAGATTGAGCAATTTCTGGAAATTTAAAAAAACCTAATGGCTGTGCAAAGAAGTCAGGAGATCACAAAAGTAAGGGTTTGTGTGAGATACAGCAGTTATTGCAGGTAAGTAATTTTCTCTGTGCCGAATAGAAAGAGGTTCCTGATAAGTTGTCTGTAATTTATATTTTTTGCTACGTTAGATAACACTTTGCTATTTCCACATTTAGAAATGTATTTGCTATTGTAGATCACTTAAAATGAACTGTAAAGGATTCTGTAACTGCTGCATGGCTGAATTGTACTGGGCTTTTTCTCTTTTGTAAATAAAACCCTCCTCTCCTTTTCTTTTGTAGGACCTGGGGATAACGAAAGTGGGTCATATGAAGCGAATTCTCCAGGGAATTAAAGAGGTTGGCAAGAACGCTCCCTTGTCTGAAGTGTAACAATACTGGTGCTATCCTTGTAAGGAGGGAGAATTGCTAGTTAGCAAAGTGGAGGCACTTTGCTGTCTTTGTAGTTTACTATATGGTTGAATAAGCACTGGTGTACTATGCAGGTTAATATATCTGCATTCTTGTGTGGTGAAGAGCTTGACTTGAGAATCTGAACGGTTTTGTGCCAAAAAAAAAAAAAAAAAAAAAAAGGTTATATGTTCTGTGAAGATCTTTTCTTAGTGTGCAAACTTGGCAAGTTCAAGTAAGCACATTTTGGTAACGAGGTTGGTATATAGTGAACTGCACTGCCTGGAAAATGTAATTAAGTAATGATTGCTTTCCTTACATATGGCCCAGTACAGCTCTCTTACAATGCAGCAACATATCACTGTAGAGCCTGAGTTTGCCTGGTTAACTTTCTGAGGCACAGCTTCCCTAAAACATTTTGTACAGAAGACTGAGAGATGGAACGTTCCTGGTTTTGCTTGCAAGACTGACATTGCCTCAGGTACTTAGCACTCACTGGCCAAGGAGTATGGTTACAGACACCACGAATGCAAACTATAATGCATGGTGTACGTGTCTGAATCGTCTGTCTTTCTGTTGCATGACATATCTGATACTTTAAACACTTGAACAATTTTTATATCAGTTTTAATAAGATTTAATTTATTACTACTTGTGTGTCTTTTATTTGGTTACAGGCACTTTTCTATTCTTCAGTGTTGTATTTTACCTGAACATGTTATGTGGCAAAGGACTTGTGGATGTGAACACTTAGCATCTGTGCCATATTTAGCAAATGATGTGCATTATATATAATTGACACATTCTATAGTTAGGTTTTAAAATTACCCATGTAGAGTAGGTATATCAGGTAATTAATTCCTGAGTGTTTTGGAGAGACAGGTACTTCACAAAATTATCAATCAGCTTCCTAAATGGAAAATTATGAGAGAGTTTTCTTATGGCGCTTTTTAATGTAGCTAGACTGTTACCTTGAATATCTGTACTATATTTTATTTATTATGCAAAAAGAGGATTAAAAAGGTTAGTGAAACATTTTTAAAAAGCCAGAAGTAATTTAATGTTATTTACTATGTGTATAAAATGTTTTAATGTTATAGCTGATTTGATTTTGTGAGGTAAACTTCCCCAGTCTGATACAAGAACTTAGCCATGTGCACCATTTTAATATAGTTTTTTAAAGGTTCATTAAATACCAAAACAATGTACACATCTGCTCCACATATCTATGTTCAATCTGTTTCTTATCAGTACTACTGCACTGGTAAATCATACATATTTAGTAACAATGGTAATCCTTTCCCAAGTATTATACACTATGGATGCTTAGGTAAATCACATGCAAAACAACAATACAGAGTGTAAACAGGTTCACTTAGAATTACTCTGATACTAAACATTTCATTAGAACGGGGTTTATGCAATTCAGTTGGGGTGCATCTAAAAAAGACATAGTTTTATAATTAATTGAGTTCCCAGATCATTTTTCACCAAGTATTTATCTAATGGGAAAAGAATTTAAATATCTCTGGAGGTAAAAACTACAGTAACACTACTTAAATAATTAGGATATCTTGATGATTCACAACTTGGGTATAGTTACACAGTAAGGTCTTCTCTATACTGAAAACTTACATCAGCATAACTACATCTCTCAAGGACAGGGCCGGCTCCAGGCACCAGGCAACCAAGCTGGTGCTTGGGGCGGCACCTGGAGGGGGGCGGCGCGGCGCTCCGGCCGCCGGGGAGAGCGGGGCCACAGCTGGGCTCG